TAATAACACCCGGTCTTATGAATCTCAGTGATATTGAAAACTGTTACATAACATCTAGCTGTTATGCATTTTCCTAAGCTTTTGTTATGAAAACAGACACCGTTTTCTCTCAGGTTCTTAGGAATAAGCTCCTTTTTTGCAGTATTAAACATTCAAAAACCAAACAACCTAGAGGCCAACAAATCTTTTAGAAGTACTTAAAGATGTTATGAATCTGCTCTTCTGCCCTATTAAAAAGGCAGCTGCTGCTCAGAAGTACATTTTTCTTATTTTCTTTGAGAACCTAGCAGGAGTTCCGTGAATACAACTTGATTATCAATGTGTGAGGCTCTTTCTATATAACCTCCTGCACCTCCAAGATGTTTTAGGTTGAACTTCCCAAAATTCTATTTTGCAATTCAACATGCACTTTGGAAAAAGCTCATCTTCCATTTCTAGTCCCCTGTGTTATCCAAAAGTGCAAAAGCTGTCCTGTAAAATTCAAGGCTGTTTTCAGTGCACCTGCCTCAAAGAGACACTTCTGACTTCATTTTAAATTCAGTGAAATGATTACAATAGCAATCAGGAAAATGTACATATGCTTTTGTTTGGGGGGGGTTGTTTTGTTGTGTGTTTTTTTTAAACCAGGAACTTTCAAGCATAGTTATTCAAGGAAACAGGAACTGTTATGAAATAAGGATTTTCTGCATGGAGTTACACCAGTTAGGTTCTCCAATATTTATAATAATAACTTTGGCTACTCATTTCATTATTTGCTCATGAAGCATGCATAATGAAGGATCCATCAGATTATAGTATCTTGTTCCTTCAGGGTCACAGAGGACAAAATTTGTGTTCTTTCCAGTCAAACCCAACAGAGATGGGATCTACATCTAAGCTGCTGCCCAAATTATTCATCTGGAATCACTATCAGAGATAATGTCTCTGTGGAAGTTGCTCCATGACATAGATTTTAAACAAATAATCTAGATCTGCTGACCAGCAAATGGTTTGCAGCTGTGACCAGCAACTGCTTTCTTCAGCTGACTCTCCTGTCTTCCTCTGTGCCAGGAATACCAGGCTTTTGAGCACACTACTGGAGTAAGAAAAGGAGAAGACTTCTTACCGTGATATCCCCCTTCCTCCATTTATCTCAGGTGTAAATACAAATCAATCCACCTAAAAGTCCCTAGGTGCTTGATACCCACATCAGATAGAGTTATGTTCTCCATGTATTATATACAGGAGGGGGGTTTTTTGTTGTTGTTTGTGGGGTTTGTTTTGTTTCAAGACATACACACTAATTTATCAGCAGCAAATAAATCTACATTAAGGGAGGAAAGATTTCTGAAATCTGCAATTGTCTTTCTGATGTGGAGTGTACATACTCCTCACAGAGCATATTGCATAGCATAGCATAAAAAAAGAACAGAAACATTTCCATCACTTTGAAGTTCCTTGTTGGTTTTGCCTCTAAATACTGACTTAAAAGTGGTAGCTAAAGATTGGGACGCAGAAACACTCATTTAGCTTTTAGTACCTGTTCACTGAAGTTGTAACTAACAAAGACAGCTTAGAGACACCTGGAACTGGAAGGTGTTCTGGACTCTCACGAATAAGCTAACTGTTACAAAAAATATTTTTAAATTTTAATTTTTTAATTTCACTGTTTGGGAACTTGACAGTTGCCCCAGTTCTTGTCCTGGGGATAAATATGATTGCTGCTCAGAAAGGAAATGGCTATACCTGGATCTGAATCAATTTAGCTTAACATAAAATTTTATCACAATCATCTTTGTATCTTCTCACTAGCCTACAGAAAATATCAACTTAACTGGTTCATAGATCACAACCTTCATCTTTTTTTTTGTCTTAAAATCATAAATCAATTCTATTCAGAAAAAGTTATTCTGCTTTGGATGAGTAACTTCAGTCATTCTTCAACTGTTGAGGAAGGGTTCTCCAGACCTGTCGTGGTTATAATCTTACCCATGGAAGAGTCAACGAATTTGCCCCCTAGTGATTTTCAGCAGTACAGCAACACAGTGCACCATGACCTGCTTAATAACAGTTGCCGAAACATGAAGCAAGGAACAAAGTCAGGAATGACATAAGTCTCTTCTCCCAGCCTTGAAGTTGTTTGTTTCCCCAAGTTTAGCTGCTATGTAACTGCAGCTCTTGCTTGAGGTTGCCTTCTCAAGTTAGTGATAAGTTCTGAAAACTTGGGAATATGGGTTTTGCACTCACTTCAGCCCCTTCAAACACATAAAAATCCATAACCTGGATTGACACCACTATAATACAGGATGATAATTAATGTTGTCAAGGGTATTTTGGACACTTAAATGCAAATGTCTAAGGCTTCCTCTCAAGCCTCCTAAATGTGTCAAATTTTGTTACCTATATTTTATTATATGGTAAATAACATTGCATCTTAAAGTATGCTTTCATGTTGGATTTGTAAAACACAGTGGGGGAAATGAAAGTAGCACACATGATGTGCAGGGAGAGCGTTTAACCTATTGTTAAATGCCAGTAGCATACTAAAGTTGACCTCAGAAGAATTTTTATCTGTTTAGCCACAGGTCCATAACATGTCTAGTAAAAGGAATACAGACATTGTTAAAACTGTTTTATGATCTTTTGAAAAGTTATCTCTAGGGGTTCTGATAAAATAAGTCATGTAGTCGATAAACATAGTGTAAGTGCCAATACAGGTGACAATGAAACATATTCTTATAACTTTATATTTGCTTTCAAGTGGTTATTAAAATTTTGGAATTGTCACAACAGATCAAATAATTTTCCCAAATACAGATCTGGTACCACGTTGTGCAGGGAAAGCCATGTGCAACCCATGAATGCACAGGTGGGGCCAAAGGCAAGTCCCATTAAAATCTATAGAAAAATACCCCTCAAAATCTAAACAAAACCTGGGAGCTTAAATACTGCCTTGAGGGCAATATTTTAGCAAAAATTATTACAGATTATTTTATTTCTGTAAATCTCAAATCCTCTTCAGACTCATGCTAAACTTCTGACCTCCATGATATCCTGGTACAAAGCATTCCACCAGTTCCAAAGAACACCAAATGTTAATTTTTACCTAATTTTAAATCACTTTTGTTATTATTGTTGTTGTTGCTTAATGTCTGAAAATTTTTGTCTTCTGTTCTGGGAAATTATAAATAAAAACAACCAGCTAAAAGTGCCTATAACCATTGTAGAGCCTCACCCATGTCACTTCTTATTCTCTTAAGAATCATTTTTCCAAAATCTCTTTAGTCATTCCTTCTTCATGATTAAAAATTGTTTGATGGTCATTTTAGGAGTTCTTTGTTAGCAAATTATTTTTGCATTGAATCTCTTGGGAAAAAAGTTGTTATGAAAGATAATGAAAAAAACAAACAAAACACACTTAAGTAAAATCATGTTTGGTAGCAGTGATGGTGACCATTTCAAAAGAAGAGTAAACTTTCCAGAAAACTGAATTTTTCCATGACTGAAACTACTTACATTTTGAAGTTAAATCTGCTGATCATTATCTTTGTAAAGAAGTGAGTAAACACTGACCTATGATAGCATTTAATTTCTAAAACAAAGAAATGTAACTTGTTATTTTGGAAATTCCAAAATGCTTCCTTCAAAAATTTTCTGAATTAAACCCTTCACCTTTCCTTCTCTAAAACACATATTTTGAAATAGACATCATTTAGGAAAAGAGAAGTTTTAAAATTGTTAACTAGCCCAGAATACATTTATATATACACATACACATTTTACTTTGGCCTGACTAAAACATAACTTTACTTCCTCTCCAATTTTGCTGGGAAAAATGGTAAATATTGGTTACATCTAACCCAAAAAGCCCATTATTCACTTATCACTCTATCAAATTTAGCCTCAATATCACCAACACTACCTCCTATCCTAATTACATAGCATATTGATCAAGTAATTAATTAATGACTCTGAAGGACACAAGTGTCAGGAAACGTTTTAAAATTATCCACTTGAAGCACTGCTCATCAGCCTAAGCCTGGAAACCTTTCAGTGCAGCACTAGTATGGGGGATATATTTCCATGCATCTGGACATACTGTATGTTAAGATTTTTGTTACAATTTTAAAAGGCTGTATGTTAAGGCTTCCTAGAGCCTACTCTTTTGCTACCAGACAAGTTTATGCTCAATTAACAGAGCTGTCAGACAGAGTTAAATAATGCCAAAATGCTTTCCTGCAGTGACTTAACAGCAATAAAGCAAAATACACTTAAAAGGGAAGAAAACAGGTCCTTAGAGTACAGTATAAAGGACTGAAGACGTGCTGAGTCTTTGATCATTGGCATTATCAATTAGCACTATTCTGATCAAACCCTGTGTTATTTACCCTGTAGGAGTCCTGATAACAGCACGCCCTGCAGATGGGATGACATCTCCAGTCAGCATCTTAAACGTTGTGCTTTTCCCAGCTCCATTTGTTCCCAGGAGTCCAAAACACTAACAGAGATAAAAAAAAAAAAAAAAAAAAGGAGCAAAAGCAACCGATTTGCTATGCTGAAAGAAATAAGTAATATTAATTCTTCAACAGTTTCTCCCTTTTTTGTATTTCCCATCATCTGTCTGTAAGATACTGTATATGGATATACTGTATGTGCAAATTCCCTTTCCCACGGAAAATAAGTTTTCAAAAAAACTGATTTATATAATATTTTGATTACCCCCTAATTCCTAAAAGTGAGTTATTCAGGATTCTAGCCCTCCACTTAAAACCCTGACTAGTAACTAAATGCATTATTTATCCATATTATTAGCAAATGCTAGATTTGAACCTGAGGATCTCAAGTCCTATTTGAGAGCCCTGACTACCAGTCTATGGAGTCAGTATTTCTCAGTTTCTCATGAGCTGCTTCACTCTGTACAGGTAAATGAACACTGAACAGCCAAGACAGATACTGACTCTGAACAGTTATTTCAAGCCCCAATATGCTTAAGCTAGGGCAGGATTCATATTAAGTCTACTTATAACACTTCATAACTTTTAAAATACTTGTTTCATGAACTTTCTTATTGATAAACAGGCTTTAATCAGCAATAATATCCTCCTGGTTACCCCAGCTACCCAACAACTGATCTATAACTGGCAAGACGTCACTGGACCTGCGCTGCCATGCACTGGTTTCTCATATTTTCCAATTTGCTATTAGCAACCAATAAAAGTATTTTCTTTATCAGTATTTTTGAAATTAATATCTGCAATTCCCAAAAGCATCAAAATCATGAAAAAAACATCCCACATAAATGCTGTTCTGAAATCTTTAGGATTACCATATTCAGTGCTAAATTTCAGTTTATTAAAATAGTATATTAGTATACTACATGCTATATTAAAGTATACTGTGATGATTTCAGCATGGGACCTACAAGCTTGCCTTGGTGACAGATTCAGGATTCAGTCCACAATTTACAATTGAGCTAGGTATTCTCTGCTTTCTCTTCGGACATTGAACTGCTATGCTACCTACTTGTTTTTTATGTTAACCTATAAAACAGTCACTTGGTAAAGATAAGCAAGAAGAAAAAATTAAGACTCTGATAAATTTGTAACCCAAAAAATAAGTGAACAGTTGCTTCTTAAACACCATCAGATCTTCTGCTTTTATCCAGTTATTGATTTTCAGAAATTACTGCAGTTTAAATTGTTCTGCTGCTATCTACAGATCTTTGATTGTAGACATCCTCAGTATGTCTGAACAATTGCTCAGAATGAAGTGTTATTTTCTGAAAGGAAAAAAAAAGACCTCTTTACCTCTCCCCTCGGTATTCCCAAGCTTATGCTTTCCACAGCTGTGATCTTACTGAAACCTCCATAACACTTCCTGAGGTTGTACAGAAGGAGGACATCATTACCAGTTCTTCCACCAAAGAGTCGCTGTCGCTCCATTTCTACATCAACATCTTCTGAAGGGCTGACCATGCTGTTAATTGAACATTGACCCCTAAAACAGAAGACGATAACAAATGATACATGGCAAATTGGACATTGCTGTACTCTGGATAAGTCTATTATTTCCCTGGTTGCAATCCCTTAAAGCTTGGTGATCAAATCTCAGCAGAATCCAAGGGAAACAGCAACTACTTGTATTTTTTCTGCAGTTTCCACTAATTCAGGTACACCATGTTATCAGAAGTATTTATCTTCAGGTGTTCAAAAGAATCCACCATTTTCTTTCTTTAAAAATTAATTCAGTGTTGTCGTGGTTTAACCTCAGTTGGCAACTAAGCACCACGCAGCCGCTCGCTCACTCCCCCCCACCCAGTGGGATGGGGGAGAGAACTGGAAAAGCACAAGTGAGAAAAACTCGTGGGTTGAGATAAAAACAGTTTAATAATTGAAATAAAATAATAACAATATGATAATAATAATAATACACAAAGCAAGTGATGCACAGTACAATTGCTCACCACCCGCCGACCGATGCCCAGCCAGTCCCCGAGC